GCACCAAGATCAGCCCATTATTTGTGATAGAGGTTGTTAGTTATATTTGAGATATGTGTATGAAACACCAGGATTTGGCCTTTAACAATTATATGAAAGACTAGGATTTGGCCCTTGGAAAATGTATGAAAGACCAGGATCTGGCCCCTGGAAATTGTATGAAAGACTAGAATCTGGCCCCTGGCAACTGTCTGTAAGACCGGGATTTGGCCCTCGACAGGAAATTGCTTGTAAGACTATGGTTTGGCCCATAGCACTATCTTATTTATGATTCGTATGTGGTATTTTGGGGAAACTCACTAAGCTTTTGCTTACAGTTTGTGTTTATGTTTTCAGGTACTTCCGGTACTAAGGGGAAGGGCCCGACGTGATGGCACAACATTCTCCGCTCACCATTTTCTGCACTTATTGATATTATTACTCTGATGATTTGACATTTTTATTATGTAATGGGTTTTGGAACACTATAATGACTGTATTTCTTATTTAAAAATAAAAAATTTTATCCTGTTTTTTGGGCTGTTACCTTTTGAGGGTAACCCAAAAGAACTCTTTTTTTAATTAAAGTACATACACATTTAGTTATTGGCTTAGACGCCTAATCCAACATCTTCATCAATCACTTCAGTTATTCCTTCATCCTTGTGGATATTGGATTTTGGTGCATCTCATCATATGTCACCACATTTTTCATATTTTGCTTCGTTATCTTCTAGTGCGCCTATTTTTTTTATATATGCTAGTGCAACACCTGTGCTAATAAAGAGTGTTGGCTCTATTATTACTCCTCATATATCTTTGACTGATGTCTATTATATTCTTACACTTGCTTTGAATCTTGTTTCGGTCAGTCAGTTATGAAATTATAGTTGTTGGGTCTTCTTCTCTGAGTCACTATGTTGTGTACAAGATCAACAATCCCAGAGGGTGATTAGGATCGGCCGTAGGCTTAGGTAGTTTCATATTTTAGAGCAACTTTAAGTGTTTGATGTTGCTGCTTCTAGCGTCGATTTGTCATCTCTTCGTTTAAATCATTCGTATTCTAATTTTTATCTTTGGAATTCTCAGTAAGGACATGTCTCATCATCATGTTTATAATTTTTAACTTCTAATGGTTTGTTAGGTGTTTTGAATAGTCACAATATTTCTGACTATTATGGTTGTAAACTTGCAAACTTTTATGCTCTACCGTTTAATAAAAATGTTACTCGCTCTGTTTCTCCTTTTGATCTTGTGCATTCTAATGTGTGGGGTCTACACCCTTTTCCTCTAAAGGAGGATCCTCTTACTATGTTTCCTTTATATATAATTACACTCATTATACGTAGGTTTATCTTATGAATTGGCATCTCTAAAGTCAGCTCTATTTGTATTTTTAGGATACCATATTGACCCTTTTAGCATTTTTAGTGATGCCAATTCTTTTGATGATTTTGCAGCTTTAGACAGCCTTTCAACTCTAGATTCCCCACCATCTACTACTAAGAATCCCCCACCATATGTTACTCATGATCCCCCACCACTAAGGCCTACTCGCAATCGAAAGTCCACTAAGCTTCCATAATTTGTATATTCATCATACTCTCCAGCATTTGCCTCATTTATTGTGAATGTACATCGTCTCTTTGAACCAACATCCTACAGAGAGTCTGTCTCTGATCCCATTTGGCAGACGCTATGGCTGTGGAACTTATTGCTCTTTATTAGACTCATATGTGGGATTTGGTACCTCTCCCTCTTAGAAAGAACACTTTTGGATATCGTTGGGTATACAAGATCAAAACCAATGGAAAATGACTACAATTCGCACCCGCATTGTTGTTTCTTCGGTTCGACAATGGAAAATTTATCAGATGGATGTCAAGAATGCATTTTTGAATGATGATCTTCATGAGGAAGTATATATATCTCCCCCATAGGGATTGCTCACCAGTTAGGTGAATTTTGTCGGCTTGAGAAAACATTGTATGGTCTCCAACAAGCCCCGCATGCTTGGTTTGAGAAATTTTCCACGATAATTATTTATCTTGGTTTTTGTGCTTGTGTTCATGATTCAATTTTATTTATTATATGTACAAGTGTAGATCGGGTTCTTCTTTCCTTATATGTTGATGATATGATTATTACTTGTGACGATCATGATGATATAGAATCTTTGAACCATGATTTAGCCTACCAATTTGCTATGAAATACTTGGGCTTACTGTGTTATTTCTTGGGGATTGATGTTGCTTAATCTCCAAAGGGTTGTCTTTTATCTCAGAGGAAGTATATCTTAGATTTGTTTGAACGTGCGCGACTCTCGGATAATTGTACAATTGATATGCCTTTAGAGTGTAGTGCAAAATATTTTCCAACTGATGGTGTTTGTTTATCATATCCCTGCCTTTATCATACTGTTATGGGAACTTTGGTTTACCTTACGGCAACTATGCCAAATATTGCTCATGCAGTTTATGTGGTTAGTCAATTTGTCACTGCTCCTTCTAATGTTTATTGGTGAGTTGTTCTTCTTATTTTGAGATATCTTTGTGGTAATCGGTTTCGTAGCCTTATGTTTCCTTCCACGTCCTCTTTTCAGTTGTGTGGCTATAATGATACTGATTGGGATAGTGATGTTTATGATTGCAAGTCCACTACTGGGTACTGTATTTTTGTTGGAGATTCGTTGATTTTGTGGAAGAGTAAGAAGCAGGATGTTGTCTCTCGACCATCTACAAAATATATGATCATGGAGCTATGGTTGTTGCTACTTGTTAGATTGTTTGGTTGCGATAACTCCTTGCAGATATGGGTGTTCATATATTTATCAACCTAACCTTTTGAATTGTGAGAACGAGAGTGCAATAATGATTGCCAAGAATCATTTGTTCCATGAGTAAACAATACATATTGAGATTGATTGTGATTTCACTTGTCACCACTTTGAGCATATACTATTTCTCTACCTCTTGCTTCTATTGTCCAAAAATATTATTGTGGCCTTAATATATAAGCTCAAGAATTAAGCTAGCTTATGAACACCAAACACAACCTTACTTTGGGGCATTATATCACCATTCTGTCTTCAACAAAAACAATAAAATATTTTAGAAACAATCAAAACAGATTTCTTAAACCATCCATATGATGTTGTTTATAATTAATTAATGAGATACAATGAGTATTAATCATTGTTATGACAGACGTTTTTGCTGCATAGCTTTCTCAATACAGCAGATGACATTTCATATGTGGAGTGTCTAACATTTCCATCCGAAAGGATTTGTTAAAAATGCCTAATGTTCTTATACGTGTATATGAAACAAAGAATTTTGTGAATGACTAAAGTAGAAAGATTACAACAACCAAGTGGATGGACTGAAGTGTATTTGGATGTAACCCTTATTTCTTTCACGATAAGGTAGGTTTCCGCAGTTGCAACAATGTTGCATTGTGATTGTATTGAATAGTCATGACCTGGTCCAACAAATATATACTAAAGTCATTTCGACTCTCTTGCTTTGGGGGATAAAAGGCAAAGGGCTCCATAAAACATTTAGTCCAACAAGATAGGTACATCTCCTTGACAATAATAACGTCTTATAACAATCCATTTTTCATTGTGGTCAAATCATTTTTAAGTACTAATTGATGATCATAATTTTCTTGGTAGTGTATTTTAAAATAGTCATTTTTCGGACGAAGGGAGTGTTCTAAATCCTTTAAAAGGAATGGTAGTTACAAACATTGAATTTATGATAAGATTAAGTTTACAATCAAGTCTCTTTATTGATAAAAAGTAAAATTATCGCTGATCAGTCCAATCTTGTGATGGATCGATTATGGAAGGTACGGATAGTCATATTTATGCTTCGTATGCATGCTGTGGTTCCTCTTGTCTTTAGAGTTTGTTTATTATAATACTATATAGCTTCAGAATTTAAATTGTCAAGTAGACGTTTAACAAACATTACCTAGTCATATCCTAGTTTACTCGTATCTAAATTAGTTTTTTTTTTATTTTTTTAACAAAAATCCCAACTTCCTCGTATTTAAACGAAATTTGCGGTGTATCTGCACAAATTAGATAAATAAATTAATAATATATCATGATTTCTTTTTCAGAATTGAAGTCCTCTCGTGTGGTGGATGAAATTGGAAAGTTTTTCATGTCAAATCGTATTAATATAGAAATAACTGAAGGACAATTGGACAAACGTTGTATTTTGGAAAACTAAAAAATAGAAGTTAAAGGTTGGCGTCAAAGATAATAAACAAATAGGGTGTTATTATATATGTAGTGTGGTTAGCATCACTCATTTTCATTAATAGATATGATTGTAAAGGGATAAAAACATTAGCTGCCGACAGTTAATTTGCTTAGAAAGCGGTTTACCTTTAAACATAGACATGCTTTAACATGTAACCGTCTTCTTTTCACGTAATCTCCAACTACTCCTCTTAAGACAACTGTATGTTTTTTTTATTACAAATTTTGCATTGTAGCCTAGCAACGTATGCAAAAAGAGTACATTGGTACTCTCTCTCTCTCTCTCTCTCTCTCTCTCTCTCTCTCTCATCTACACGTGTGCAGACATTGAAAAACACAGAAGCGATAGAGAAAGAGATAGAGAGAGAGAGGGTGATGGCTTCTTGAAGTGGCAATGGTGATGATGACAGTGATGTTTGTGGGGTGTGCCTCCAGAGAGAGAATGTAAAGAAAGATATGGGGGTTGTTAATTGATAGGTAGAGTAGAAAACGGATTGGAGGGGGACCTCTTTAGGCCCATAGAGAGAAGGCAGAGAGGGAGAGAGATGATCATTATGTGAAGTGGAAGCAAAAATAGTTTGTATCAATTCTCATACACATATGATGATTACCTTGTGAGTGAAGAAAAATGCATCGAAAAAGACAAGTTTGAGTTAAAGACAAGAAGACCAACCATCTCTCTCTCTCTCTCTCTCTCTCTCTCTCTCTCTCTATCTCTCTCTCTCCCCCTCTCTCTCTCTCAGCATATATGTACTATCTGATTTCAAACAAAGCCCAGTCTCCCAACAAGGAAACTCGACTTTGATCTTTTGTTGTCTGAGGATTATCAATCCTATATTTGTGATGAGAAAGCCAGATCCGATCATGAGAGAAAAGGTGTGTAGCAATACCAATAGCAATAAAGGAATGGTGAAGCTTAGAAAGGGATTGTGGTCACCTGAAGAAGATGAGAAGCTGATGAATTACATGTTAAGAAATGGTCAAGGGTGTTGGACTGATATCGCCAGGAAATGCTGGCCTGCAACGCTGTGGAAAGAGTTGCCGCCTTCGTTGGATCAATTACTTGAGGCCTGACCTCAAGCGTGGCGCATTTTCTCCACAAGAAGAACAACTCATTGTTCATTTGCACTCTATTCTCGGCAACAGGTGTGTGTCGCCCCTCTCATGCTCCCTTGTTTTTGTTCATAAGTAGCAAATAATGTGTATAACGTATGCAACGGCAGAGTTTAAGCATATCAACATATTAAATACAGAGTTTAAGCATATCAACATATTAAATAGGTAAGCACACACTATAAGGTCGCTAAAAGGTTCCATATACGGGTCATTGAACTTAAGTACTTAACTCTATCCCAGCTATACCATCAGTCACAAAGGTTTGAGTATGATAAATGGGTTATGATGTTGTCAATATACGTACAATGCTCACAATGTGAACTTCAAATAGCTATATATTTTCTTTTATTCTCACACAATTGTAATTGTGATCATATCTAAGGGAACATATATCCGCCAGCTAAGTCAAGAAGGTAGTATATATACTCCGATGGTTATGCCTTAATAAAATGAACAGTTTCATATTATGGAAAATCTAGATTAATTCCTATAGATTTTCAAAGATTTATCATAATCCTGCATTAATTTATAAACAGCATTTTCTGATCATGTCAATGTTCCTCAAATTGTAAGATTACACGAATCAAGTAAGAGAAACTTATTTATCATTCAATCCTTTTCTTTTTAGAATTTACAAATTCTGTAATAATTAAGTACATGCTATTTCTATTTAAGTACATGGATCACAGTTATTAGGGGACAATGAGTTTTTATAAATTCTTTTCGAGTAAACTGGATAAAAAAGAAGAGTATATATACAAAGAACCTGACAACAATAACAATATATTTCATAAAGCACCTATCTATAATCTTGCATTATGTTATTTATGTAAAACCATTTTATTATCTCACTGCTAATATTTTGTTTTGGTTTACAACATATATCCTTTAAATTACTTAATCATCTCACTAGAACTATCACTTGATTTTGAATTTGTGTAGTTTAATATTGATTGATATATTACTACATATATTAGAAGTATTATATTTTAGTAATAATAAAAAAATGGCATGATGATCAATACAAATTTCTTGTAAAATAATGCTAAGTAAATGCACAATTCTAGGTTTAAAAAATTACAAATTTTTGTAAATTTGATATTCTACAATTGAAAAATAAAATTTCTTTCTATTTATCTTGCTATTTCATCATCTACATATTTAAAGATTAACATGTATAATACATTATTTTTCTTTCTCGTCTTATCTTTTGAATTTGACATTTAAATGAAAGCATGTTAAATGATTTAATATAATAGATTCTTATAACGACCTAACAAGTTGCATCCATTCACTATCCCATCATTTATTGAAAACGATGGAACTCTACGTTTTGCTTAAGAAACGGGAAAACTCTTAAAATTGTTTTTTAATTCATCTATTTTTAACAAGAACGAAACTTACAGTTTTTCTTTTTCGAAAAAAGCAACATGCCTATGCCTCAAACATAAGGGCTATATGCCTATATATGGTAATTTAATTAATACTGTTACAATAAAAATCAATATGTAATAACCGTATAGAACTTGCTCATAACACCACATCTTGTTAGAAATTAATAAAACTATCATAATACCCCGTGAGCTAAATGTCAATCGATTGTAAATTGACTTAAACCAGATAAAACTTCTATTATTTTATCAAATTAATTAATGCTTTAATTTCTTATGTGCTAATAATATATATTCAGTAATTAACGGTATTATCTTTAATAAACTCATGTTATTTATAAAATAGTATTTATACATGAGTATATATCTTTCGTTTTTGGCTAGCAAATATTTTATAGTATGTTTCTGAAAGGCATATATTTTATAGTATATAGTGGATGGTAATTATTATTAGTTGCCGAAATTAAGGTTGTTTGACAATTATTATTTTAACAAATTCAGGTGGTCTCAAATAGCAGCTCGTCTTCCGGGAAGGACGGATAATGAGATAAAAAACTTTTGGAACTCCACGATAAAGAAAAGGTTAAAAATGAACAACAACGTTTCTAGAAGCTCACCAAACAATAGCATTGACGAAACATCCTCGGATCCAAGTAGAGATGTCATGGGAGCTGGTATGTTCATGACCATGCATGATCATGACCTCATGGCCATGTGCATGGACTCATCACTGACCTCCACAACGACCACATCATCCTCATCCATGCATAACAATTCTATGATTATGAAGGGTCATGACCAATTTGGTCAATTACCATCACTCCTTCAAACTCACATCAATCGTGACGCAAATGGTGACTCAAGTTTGTTTAATGTTTCCCCATGTTTAGGAGAAGTTGGTATGGGAGGAGACGGCGGAGGATATGGGGATTGTGGTATTCTTGAAGTACCATACATGATGGGAATGGAAAATGAAAATAGTAACCTTGGGAGTGGGGTCATGGATGGAGATGTTAATGCTAATGCTACTAATTACATGTTTGAGAAGAAATCAACCAATTTTAACCACCACTTTAGTGGGGAGATTGATGGGAAAGTTAAAGTGGAGGAGGTGGTTGGTTTTGAAAATCATTGGTCGGGAGAAAGCTTGAAAATGGGAGAATGGGATTTGGAAGGTTTATTTGCAAATATACCTTCGTTACCTTTTCTTGATTTCTAAAAGACATTTTCTAATTTTAGGAAATAAGAACATTATGATAGAGAGATTATACGATACACACTCCTCTCTGCAATTACATCAACTTCTAAACTTTTAATTAGGTATACAATCACTAGCTAGTGTTTTGATCGTTGCCATAAGTTCAAAAAAAAACCTTTCTAGAGATATATACTTGGATATATAAGTGATTGGGCACATATCTTTCAGGGAGGAAAACTGAGTTTATGGATCCATTGGCATTTGTCATCGATCGTATGAAGGCTGTTGAGAAGTTGACAAACATAAAGGGTATTCGATATATATAGATGGAAATGTGAATAGCGAAATGTATTGTAGAAAATAAAGAGAAGATGTAAACTTGTAGTGTTGTATACACTAGAAATAAAGTGAGGCAGCAAATTGTGTAATGGTGCATATGATTTTTTTAATGTTCTTTTTGAGCAGCATATTGCAAATATTCTTTTTATATGTACAAAATTAATAAAAGCAACTTGGAAAGGAATATTCTCTCCTTTTATTTGCATACATACGTTATTTGTACATCTATGTGGTAGCTTAGACTTGAGGGGATGACGCGACATTGTGTTTGGTAAGGTAATGGTATTTTTGGCATACAATACCCCTAAAGGTGGCATGCCGAGTGACACCTGGTCAAACCGTATTGTGTTGCCAAGGTGAGAGAAATGAGAGTTGAGAGACTATGTGGGGTTTAGGTTACTTATTTTCTTTTTTCTTTTTCTTTTTTTTTTTAAATTTTGACCAACCCCTTAGAATGTCATGCATGTTGTGTGACAAAAATAAGGTAACCTTGAGATGGATGTCAAAAAGCTACCTTGAGATGGATGCCAAAAAGCTGATGTGTTAGTGTGACATGTCATGCACCACTCTCTCAAGCCTTATAATGTTATGCCTCCACATGTAAAAGTAGAAATATATTTCTGTTACTATTATGAGAATTCAAAATTATTAATTGTAGAAAGAAATGTAGTGAGTTGAATTGGTAGTTGTTTTTATTCTCAATAACATGGTATCAGGCCAAAAACCCTAGCAAGTTGTTTCCCTTCCTTCCTTGTCGTCTTCACCCTATGTGGTCGACACTTCTTCTTTCTCATATTCTCAATCATGTCATCTCCTAATGACAAAATATACGATTGCACAACCATTAAATCCTACATTCCGCTAATCCTAGATTTGGAAGGCATGAACTATGATTCATGACTTGAACTTTTCAAGACCCACTGCATCAGATATGAAGTCTATGATCATCTCGATGGCACCTCTAACAAACCGGCTGACAAAGAAATTTGTAAGGTTGATAGTATTAACAAAAATGGTTATTTTGCACTCTATCTCAATTTTATCATACAAGCCGATTGCATTGCTTCTCAATTATGGAAAAGCCTCGAAGACCTGTTTCGTGACAATAAAGAAGCCAAGGCCACAGAGCTCAATAATGAACGAAGAAATATTGTTCTTGGAGACTCCTCAGTCATCGAGTATTGCACTCAGATCAAAAAAATCTCCGACCTGCTGTCAAATTTTAGAGCACCGGTCCTGAATATTCCATCAATGGTCTTCCTCCAAAGTTTGATCACATAGCCACCACGCTTCGTTACAAGACTCCATTTCCCTCTTGGCTAGAGATGCGCTCCATGCTCACCATTGAAGTACATCGCATGCTTCAGAAGTAAAATTGTATTCTTCAAGCCCCATATCAAGATAATTCTTCTACTCCTACTTCACTCAATGTAAATCAAAACAACAATCGGGGCTCAAACTCATCTCATGGGGGAAAAAATTTTGGTCGTGGAGGATGTCGAAACTAGCGTGGGGCGGCAGCGGCGGACGCACCAGTCACAGAGGGGGCAGACGTCAACAACGCACCGCCGAATCCAACAACAATTCTGTGGGATGCATATCGGTGCAAGTGGTTGGGGGTGTTGGGTCTTGTATCCTGGTATGCTCCCTCAACAACGATCAATGCCCTTTTCTGATGGGCTACTCCGTTCTCCTTCAGCAAACCCATGACAATAGTCGCCCAAAGTTAATTGGCAACAACAGCCCAACAACAACAGTGCAGGCCGACAACAACAGTAGCCCAATGGTACAGCCCATCAGCCTTAGGCTTTCTTTTTTGGACAACCCACTAATCCGACTTGGTTCCAATTTCGTGATCAGGATACGTCTCTACCACAAGCTTTTAGCATCATGAATGGTTGATGGACACCAGGGCAACTGCACACCTTTATGTCGATACAGGTATACTCAAATCCTTTGGAAATAAGTGAAATAATTGTTTTATTTTAGTCGGTGATGGATTACACATTCATGTTACTTATACAGGTAACACCACTCTTAATCACAACCCGTTTCGTCCTTTACTTTTACAAAATGTGCTTATAACACCCAAATTATTAAAAAAATCTCATATATGTTCGTCAATTTACTCGTTATAATAAATGTTCTATTGAATTTGACAAATTTGGTTTTTCTGTGAAGGATTATCAGACTCGAAAAATCCTTCTTCGATGTTATAATTCGGGAGATCTCTATCATGTTCCCACGCCTACCCCAAGCTCTTTTAAGTGTTGATTCCACCAAATGGCATAAAAGACTTGGTCATCCCGGTCAACAAACTCTCAAGCATTAAATTTCTAATAATATCATTTCATGTAAAAAGAAGAACTATTCATCTTTGTGTCAGTCTTGTCAACTTGGTAAACATCGGTTGTGATTTGATTTATCTAAAACTGATGTTATGTTTCCGTTTCAAGTTATTCATTCGGATGTTTGGATTTCACCTTTGCAAAGTCATAGTCATATTAAATATTATGTTATCTTTCTAGATCAACTTTCTCATTTCTTGTAGGTGTATCCTTTAAAAAAAACTCTGAAGTTTTTTTTTTTTTTTCAAATTTCTCCACTTTCTTGCATTCATCAATAATCAATTTCAAATCAATGTATCTTCCTTGGTTACCCCTCAAATCACAAGGGATACTGATGTCTTAATCTTTACACCAAACAAATCATCATCTTTCGTCACATTGTATTTGATTAGTCTATATTCCCGTTCGGATCCATGTCTCCAAATGCAGCTCCTGATTACTCATTTCTTGATCAAGACGATTGAAGAAACATATTTAATAACCCTTGCCATACTTCTTCTACTCAATCGAAATACAACTCCACCCCTCTTGAAAGTTCACCTACCATAAACTATCCTTCTGATACACATTCCCTTCTCGGTTCTCTCCTACCCATACCAAAACATATTCGCCTCCTCTCACTAATGACCAAACCGAAGTCTCGGTTCCTTCTCCATAAACCGAACCTCATCCCAATCCTTAAACTCGTCATCACATGTCTACTCGTTCCAAACATGAGATCTTTAAGCCTATCCAAAAGCTAATTCTTCACACCGAAATCTCCTCCTCTCCCATTCCTCGAAACTATTCTCAAGTTTTTCGAGATCCAAACTGGCTTAATGCCAGGAAAGAAGAATACAACCCACTTATTTGTAATGGAACTTGGGTACTTGTACCTTGGCCTACTAATGCTAATGTGGTTAGTTGTATTTGGTTGTTCAAAAGAAACATAATGTAGATGGTTCTCTTGCTCGGTATTGTCACACCCCCGACCGAGGAGGCAAAACATGTCATGATGTGCGACTTAGTTCATGGATCACATGTAAACTGAATATATAGCACAAGTACAATAATAAAAAAATCAACATTTGTATTCCATCTTGATGTTTGAATACAAGGTTCTTATATATAATAGTATAGTACATGAATTTCCTTAAACAGGTAGCCAGGCATACCAAAAACTAGTAAACTAGATTTCCTGAAATCCATGACCATTCCGTTGTCTAAAATGCTTGATTACTGATTTCCTGAGAATACATGTTGTTTTGAGAGTCAACACAAGGTTGGTGAGAGTTACAGGTTTTCTGCCAACAACAATAATGATACTTTTAAAAACATTCAAAAAGTATTTTCTTTGTAAGTAAAACCATACTTAAAACTGTGTTTGTAAAGAGTCTTTGAATAAACTTTGAAAAGCCAAAAGGTGCCTTTGCATAACTAAATCCGCACTTAAAATTGTTTTGAAAGAAACCAAATCCATGGTTTGTAGTGAGAGAGAGATTAGAGTTAATGTTTATAGTGAGTCCTATAACTGAGCTATGTGACTGAATGTAACTCCCTGCAACGCATCATTATATGTTGTAGTAATGGGTGTAGACACTTATCACCCGCTTCGATTGATCGCTCGAGGTTGTAGCTAGCAACCGCAGGTGGGGATGTCAACCCCGTATAGATCTATACATATGTATATCGCTTCGAGGATTAACGGTTATAGTAATGTGGGTATGCTAAGTGTTTAGACATAGCTGATGAATAGTGTCTCGCTATAAAGCCCTTAACTAAGGTATGTGAATAACTCTCAACCTTAACTTATATGTGAATAAGTCACTAGGCATAATGATTTGCATAAAGTTTATAAAATCCGAGTATGTTTGGTATATACGTAACAGTGTAATGTACTTGCTTTTATAAGAGGTACGTTTCAAAGTAGTGATCATAAGTACATGTGTATGTTCTAAGTTATAATCTTTATAACTTATATATATATATATATATATATATATATATATATATATATATATATATATATATATATGTATATATATATATATATATATATATATATATATATATATATATATGTATTTGAAAGATAAAACAACAAAAATTATCTAGAATGTCGATTCTGTCACTGTTTTAGAAAAATTCTAAAAAAATCATCAGGAGTTGGAATCAGGATCTGTAAATTCTCAAGGTTTAAAAATTGAGTCTACTTTTTCCTTAATTTTTCCTTGACTTGATATGCACCCTAACTAAGGTGAAAATGACGGTTTTTACAAACTTGTCCGAAAAAAGACTGCAATGATATGTAGTTTTGAAAAAATCATAATAAAGTGTATAAATATCGTATGAATATGTGCGAGTAGTCCTTGAAAATGTATCAATCTGAACTACTTGCATACAAAATAGTTTTGCAACCCATAGGGTTTAACATGGGCAAAACAGGTCTTGAATAGACCACAATTTTTCACATAAAATCATCTCATTTTGTAATATGTTTTTCAATAGTGTTTTTGCCTAAACGAAATATGTAAGCACATGTATTCCCCCCTGAAATATATAAAAACTATAAAAACGGGACGTAAACACTTACCTTAATGTATGATTGTTGGTTTTGACTCGAGAATGTGTTTTGATTTCCAGGAAGCACCACGAAGTAGCAACAACTAGCATAACTTTTAATCCTAGTTTGGGCTTGAAAACTTCACACAACACCAATAAATCGAGACTAGCACATGGAAATACCAAAAAAAGAGGAGCAAAACAAAATGACACAAAGGCGGTGGTGGCCGTGGGGTGGCGG